ACCGCTTCTCCGGCCATGCTGAGGCCGCGTCCCACATACAGCAACTAGAAGGATGTGCAGCTATGACATACAACTATCTACTGGGGCTTTGGGGGGAAAATAAATAAATAAATAAAATCTTAAAAAAAAAAAAATAAATAAATCAAAATAACTTTAATGGAAAAAGTATTATATTCTTACAACACAGAATTTTTTTAATGGACATCATAAATACTTTTAAAATATTCACATGCCTCCTTCTTAAGGAATTTTTTTAGTAGACAGTTTATTTTGGAAAGTATCAAATGTGAAAAGTTCAGGCTTTTTATTCATCATAATGGATAATTAGTGCAGTTTCCAAATTCTTCAATATCTAATGTTTCTTGACATTTAGAAAATCATCCACAAAGCTTTTTAAGGAAACTATATGAAATGTTTGAAAGGCAAGCATATTTATGGGATGACAAACAGAAAATCTACATTCCAAGAAGAGTTTTATCTTAATTATAATGTCACCATCATAAATACTTTAATTTACTTACTCACCAACTTCCTTGACTTACCAAGTTTAAAGAGAAGTACACCCAAAGGTCCTCTGTCAAACCTGAGGAAGAGGAGATCATAGATGTCCCCACTTTCAGGCTTCTGAGAAACGACCTGAGGAGCCGTCCACTGCATTTGAACAAGACCGCTGGAAACATCAAAGAATTTATTGAATTGCAGAGCCTCCCTGGGTGAGCGGTCTTCAGCCAAGAGCTGAATGTTAATAGGTGATAGAGCCATATCAAAAATTTGCAGCTCCCCTTGGTTGCTGCCAACTAGCAGAATGGCGCCACTTGGGTGGCAGCATATTAATGAAGGCAAAAGTTCAGCCTGGGCTAAGAGAGTCACTCTACGGTGAGTTTCATAAAGAATTACTGAAGAATCTTCACAGCCCAGAATCAGTTTGTCTTCAGTAACATTCCTGCAGCAGCTAATGGCCTTAGATCTTAGTGGTATTCTGGTGACTGATACACACTGGATTTTGTTCCGAACACATTCATAGATGCAGCTGTCAGCCATGGGCTCTTTGTCTACACTGATGGAGCGCTCCACTGTCAACACCTGATAAGGCTGTTTGGCGCCAAAGCAAACATCCAGCGGATCACATTCTGTGCGGACAGAACTTAGAACCTGTAAGAAATGTATCAGGTATGTTCACATAGACCTTGGTTTTTCTTCAGCTGTCACACATAGGCCTGCATATTAATCCAGCATCCTATTGAAGACCATCAATTATCACCTTAAACATCAACAACATACAAGTATGTATGTGTACATGTATGAGTGTGTATATATATCTCACATAGAATACATATATAAACATATATAGCACATATATAGCACAGCTGCAGAAATTAAACTATACGATTTTAACTTTAACACTTTGTTTTAGAACATCTGTAAATAACTTAAAACAAATACATCTCACAATTTATAAAAGCTAATAAGGAGGGCTTTTAGTAAAATAATATGGTTAGCAGAATATCTAAAAATGTCAGAAGTTTGATTTTTAAAAGGATGAATAAAAGACTTGAAACAGTTTAGCTAATCTCCTTCTCAATTCTGAAATTATTGGTAAATTACTCACCAGAAATATATTTTTAATTAGTAGGGCAGGGTAGGCAAAGGAAAAAACTTTAGAACTCTGTTAACAGTTCTGTAGAAATATTTTACTATCAGAAATGTTATGAAAGGTTGTTAAGTTGACAAATGAGTAATAGAAAGAAAGAATAATGTAATGCACCGGTTTTAAAATAAAAAAATTAAGACCTGGTAAGTAATATAATTTGTCAATATTGAGGAAGTAAAATTTAAAAAGCATCTTTGGGAGCCAGCCCTGATGGCCTAGAGGTTAAAGTTCACTGCTCTCCGCTTTGGCAGCCCAGGTCCATTCCCCAGTCGTGGAACCACACCACCTGTCTGTCAGTTGCCATGCTGTGGCGGCCACTCACATAGAAGAACTAGAAGAATTTACAACTAGTATATACAACCATGAGCTGGGGCTTTGGGGAGAAAAAGAAAAGGATCTTTGCTGTAGAAAGGAAAGGCTACAAGAAACACCTAGGCAGAAGAATAAAGAAATAAAATAACAGGTCATTCACTTTATTCATATGTAAGTGTTGGAGGCCAAGAATCTGGAGAGTGGTACTAAAGACAATATTTTCTTTCTTTCTTTTTTTTTTTTTTGTGAGGAAGATTAGCCCTGAGCTAACATCCATTGCCAATCTTCCTCTTGTTCCTGAGGAAGACTGGCCTTGGGCTAACATCCGTGCCCATCTTCCTCCATTTTACATGGGACGCCGCCACACCATGGCTTGACAAGCGGTGTGTCGGTGCGCACCTGGGATCTGAACCCCGGGCCGCGCATCAGAGCGCATGCACTTAACTGCTACACCACCAGGCTGGCCCCTAAAGAGAATATTTTCTAACACTTTGTCAAAAACTTCAAAATCAGATGTAGAACATTAAAAAGCACATTTACACGCCTATGATAAAATTTCATGAAACTACACACACATGAGCGTGTACACACCCACACACAAAAGTGCATGTAAAATCTGATGAAATCCAACTAAGGCCTGTATCTGAGTTAAGAGTATTGTACTGTGGTCATTTTCTTGGATTGACAATGTACTATAATGTAAGATACTATCATTGGGGCAAACTAGGGGGAAAGTACAGGAAGGGAAATCACTTTTGGCAGGTTTAGCAATTATTTTGGCAGTTTCTTGAAAGTCAAACTATTTGAAAATTAAAAGTTATTTTGTTTTAAGAAACCACAAACAGCTATGTTACATAGTGCTTGGCTTGGGGAGGGGATAGGAGGTTGATGTGAATTTTAAAAAAAATCCATCCTACACATCACCATCAAACTCACCTCCTAAACTAAATGTTTTTGGTCACACTCCCCTGTTCAAACCCTTCATTGACTACCTACTGACTAATGAATTAACTTTTTATTCCCCTGCCTGGAATGCAAAACCCTGTAGGACCCATATCCAACTCCTTCCCTCCCCCACACTCTTTCCTGCTCTTGTTTTTCTTTATTGTCTAATAAATATTTGAGTATGAGCTATAAGTGCCAGGCACTGGTCCTGGGTCCTGGGGATACAACAGTGAGTAGGTGCTAACCCTCAGAGAACATACACTCTAATGGCTGAAGATAAAGCAACAATTCACAAGCAAACATACACATATGATATTAATGATCCTATATATGTACGTCCTAAGTACTATGAAGAAAAATAAAGCAAAGTAAGGGGAATGGGGAGTGGCAGGAGTGTGTGTGTGGGGAATACAGATATCTCAGGACAGGCCTCTCTGATAAAGGTGTCGGAAGAGCAGTCTGGGAGAAGAGAGCTCCAGGCAGAGGAAATAAACACCCTGAGGTGGTGCTCTTGGCCTCATCAAGGAACAGCAGGAGACAAACAGGGCTAGAGAAGAGGGAGGAAGAAAGTAGTGGGAATTGAGGGAGGGGAACAGATTGTGTAGTAGCTTGTAGGCCACTACAGGGACTTTGGCTTTTATCTAAACGAGAGGAGAAGCTATAAACAAAGGAGGAACGGGATCTGACTTGCAAAATCTAGTGTTATATCATATAGTCTCCCCTCATTACTCTATTCTGAGTTCAAACTAAAACCTGCCCTGCGTTTTCCCAGCTCTATAACTTGTTAAATTAGTTAAACAAGGAGGCCATTAGACCGATAGAGCTCTAATGCCACGGGAGCCTATGTAAGCAAAGCAAAATCTAAGCCAGTAAATGCCACAAAGTTACAAAATCAAAACGCTAAAGATAACCAATCACAAACAGCCAACTAGGCTTTAAGCTATAGCCAATCAAATAATTTTCTTTCTTTGCTTCTGCACTTTCTCTATGTAAGTCTTTCCCCTGGCTCCTGTTGGCCTAGTATTCCTAATCATTTCCAGTTTGGTGCTGCCGAATTGGAATAGATTTTTGCTCAAATAAACTCTTAAAAATTTTAATATGCCTCAATTTATCTTTTCACAACTTCACTCACGTTCTTTGCCTGAAATCCACACTCTTCATCCAAAGAGACTCAGTTTTTCTTACCAACGATACTCACCCTTAAAGAACTAGACCAACGCTATCTCTATTTCCGGATTCCTTCCAGCTGAATGGCATCCTTCCTTTGATCTCACCTCCATACCCTCCTCCCCACTCCAGCTTGGCCAATGACTCTCTCATGATATTTGGCCTTTTATTTACTTCTGATATTTGGTCATATGTTCTCATTTTCACTGTAAGCTTAAAAAAAGAAACTGTCTCATCTGTTTTACGCTTTATTTTTGTATCCTGTGTAGCAGTTAGCCAAAAGCTATGCTGGTAGTAGGTATGCAATAAACTTTTTAAAACTACGAATTAAAAAAATAATGCTTTACTGCTGGTTGAAATATCATCCTTCCAGAAAGCTTCAAGTTTTGTAAAAGCCTCAGGGCAGAAAACTGAGAGGCCAAGTGACTTTGAACAGGGCCTGTACTCATACAAAGACAGCCTAAAAGGGGGGCCAGGCCAGACGGCAGTCTCGGCATAGAACAAGTTAGTCTCAAGGTCCAGGGACAAGGTTCCCAGGCTTCCTCTTTTCCAAAAGTTTTTGAGACTTTCTCCAATAGACTCTGTAGTTTCATTAAGAAAAAAGGGGTTAAAAGGGGAAAACGATATTGTGAGTTACAAGGAATATATATATTTGATCATTCAGATGACCACATTGTATTTCTCATATATATTTGGTCTTAACCTACAGTTCTTGGCTCAGATCTCCCAAAACCCTTGGAATTTCCTAACTGTTAAGAGTGATAAAGGTGTCTTTTGTTATGTTAATGAGGTGACTTGTGGAAAGCACTTAAGGATGGGAGCTGGTTGCCAGTGGAACCAATCATGTGATGAGAGCGTTGGAATTTTCAGTCCCATCCTCTGACTTCCAGGAAGGGGAAAAGGGCTGGAAGTTGAATCACTTATCAATGGTCAGTGATTTAATCAATCATGCCTATGTAATGAAGCCTCCATAAAAACCCAAAAGGACAGGGTATGGAAAGCTAACACGTGGAGGTGCTGGGAGAGTGGCAGCACCTGGAGAGGGTGTGGAGGCTTCCTGCCCTTTCCCTATCCCTTGCCTTATGCATCTCTTCCATCTGGCTATTCCTGAGTTATATCCTTTTATAATAAAATGGGGATCTAGTAAGTAAAATGTTCCTCTGAGTGCTGTGTGCCGCTCTAGCAAATTAATCGAACCTAACGAGGGTTCTTGGGAACCTCTGATTTATAGTCGGTTGGTTAGAAGCACAGGTGAGAACCCAGGCTTGCGACTGGCGTCTGAAATGATGGGGGAGGGGGTGGACTTGTAGGACTGAACCCTTAACTGGTAGAATCTGATGCCATCTCCAGGTAGGTAGTGTCAGAATTGAATTGAATTGTAGGACACTCGGCTGGCGTACAATGTACATCTTTTCCTCCACTGCCAAACCCAGATAACTCTAAAAAACCTAGCCAAGGTCAGAGAATCACCTGCTGTCTTCCCAACTAAATGGTTGAATTCATTTAAGGGAGGAAAATGTCTTGTATGGCATAAAGATACCATAAAAGTTTAAAGATTAGAAAACACAAGTCTACATAAGTTTCAGTAAAGAGTAACTCCACCAATAACAATAAAAAGAAAATAAGGTTTCGTGCTCTCACTTTTTAATACATTGTTTTATTTAATCTTTTCAATACTCCAAAGTTAGGTATTACAATCTACATTCTGGAGATAAGGAAAATGAGGGTCAGAGAGATGGTATAAATTGCCCTTGGTCCCAAAGTTAATAAGTGATAGAGCTGTAGTTTAAATCCAGGTCTGTTTGACTCTAAAAAACCACAGTCTCTGCAAGACACACTGCCTTGTAAGCACAGATAATTAATAAGTTTACACGAACGTACCAGCTCTTCCTCTATGTAATCAGAGGAGGGAATGAAAAGAACCACAGGGCATTAGGAACCTGAAGGGTGGTGAAGGGATCCCACAGACGGGAGAAGAGTGAGAAAAAGGTGAAGGGACTGAAGAGACAAATTATGCAAATGACAATGAAGCCTGTCAACCTTAGGGTGAGAAAAAAAGAAGCCTGTGCTATTTTTG